TAACCCTCTGAAACATTCTGTTCACTTTCATTAAAATTAGGCAGGTTAATTAAATCTTTGGTTTTTTTTTTATTTTCATCTTTAATCTTTTGTTGCAATGCTAGGTACCCCATAAGTTGGACATTATTTGGACGTAGTGTTTTCAGTGGGAGAAACATTTCATCATTCATACAAGTGACTTTTTTCAGTCTCAGTTGACTACAGGTTTCTCCAACCTTTTTTGTATAGCCAAATTAGTTTATTGGACGCATGACCATAGACTTTTGTGAAAAGCAATGAAACTTTCTAGAGAGTACGCTCCATGTATTATGCTCAGTGGCAAACTGAGCATAATGACCTGCAGTTATGAACCACTCTCTGACAATAACGTGGTGCTGAAAACACTGTTTTATGATTTTTTGAGAGACTGTATTTCCATGTTCTTTGTCTAAGGTCAAGTCTTTTGTCACCCAGATACGCATTGTCACCAGCGGGAGGAAGAACTGCTGCTTTTCTTTGCCACATCACCACATATATTGATTCTCACACACATACTCAAATAGATACTGTGCAGTTGCACTTCCTGTGTGTCCTGTTATCTTTTCCCCTTGATCTCACCTTCTTGCTTTTTCCCTCAAGCTCTTGTACCTGCATCTGTGAATGTCAGGCAGGCTTTTTCTTTTGATGTCCTCGTGGAGACCAGGCCTCCAGTCAGCCCACAATGTGCGCATCACTTTATTTAACATACGTCATTCACACTCGTTCCTACATGTACTTTTGATTAATGATAATCTTAAAGTAATCCAGCATCACTCATGTCATGATCCTGGGTCCTTTTGACCCAGCGTTTTGTGTTTTCTCTTCGCGATTTTGGTTCTGTTCTTCCTCTGGTTAGTGTTTACTCTGTTCTGCTCGTGTGTTCCTGTATCCAGTCCGCGTTTCTTAGTTTGTGTCCTTTCATGTGCAAGTTCCTGTTTTATTGTGAAGGTCGGCGTCTTATGTGAGTGTTTTCAGTTTGCCTCCCTAGTCTCATCATGTTTATCACTCCCAGCTGTGTCTCCCACCTGTGTGTAATCTCCCTGTGTTCTGAGTATATTTAAGTTGTATTTTCTGTCTTAGTAGTTGCTGGTTCGTCTGTGTTGTTTCCCCTCGGTCTCCCTGCGTCTCTCCGTATGTATTTCCCCGGACCTCTGCATCTTCGTTTCTGGTTTGTTTTGTTAGTTTTACCCAGTTTAGGTTTTCCTGTTTCACCTTCACCCACGCCATTGCTGTTTGTATTTTCTTTTGTTAAATAAACACTCACCTGCTCCAGAGCTGCTGCCTTTTGGGTCCTTTTCTACATTCCACACGGCTTGCCCCGGCAATCCGTGACAGTACGAACCAGCCACCATGGACCCAGCAGCAGTAAATCCGTCCGAGGAGCTCCGGGACGACGTTACATATAACGTGGAGATTCTCCTCGGGCTGTGGCTTGAAAACCCTCCAGAGGAGCTTCGCCGCATCGTCGAAAGCCGGCTACAACGGCTCTTTTCCGGCCTGCCATGGCTTCTAAAATCGCTTCCTCTGACCATGCAGGCTTTTCTCCAGCACACACCTCACCTTCTCTCAGCCACTCCTGCCTCGCTGCCCGACTCGCCGGATGTGATCTTGCCCGGCCCGTCGGAGCCGTCTGCAGGGAGGAAACGCCGATCGCGCTGCCGACACGCCACCCCACAGCCGCACGTTCGGACTTCTAATTCACCGGCTGTGGTGAGTGAGGACTCTGTGTCTTTTCCAGACAACGTGACTGTTCATTCAGGGGCTGTGTTTTGTGTGGCGGATGTCAACGCGAGCTGCGTATCGCCTGTGCAGCTACTCCCAGCTCAGTTAGCTCCCCCGCAGCAACTCCCAGCTCAGTTAGCTCCCCCGCAGCTACTCCCAGCTCAGTTAGCTCCCCCGCAGTCCTTCACAGCTCAGTTAGCTCCCTCGCAGCCACCCTCAGTTCAGTTAGCTCCCCCGCAGCCACCCTCAGGTCGGTTAGCTCCCCCGCAGCCACCCTCAGGTCGGTTAGCTCCCTCGCGGCCACCCTCAGGTCGGTTAGCTCCCTCGCGGCCACCCTCAGGTCGGTTAGCTCCCTCGCGGCCACCCTCAGGTCGGTTAGCTCCCCCTCAGCTCAGTTTCCAGAGTCACCCTCAGCTCAGTTTCCAGAGTCCCCCTCAGCTCAGTTTCCAGAGTCCCCCTCAGCTCAGTTTCCAGCAGCCTCCAGTGCCCCTTTCAGTTCAGGCCCCAGTAGCTCCAGTGCCGCCTGTAGCGCAGGCCCCAGTAGCTCCAGTATCATCGGCTTCACTCATTCACTCCATGCGGGGAGACAGTTTAATTTCACCTCAAGGTGCTTTTTTTGGTTCAGCCGCCATTGGCGCAGTTTGCCGCTCCAGGGCCACCCCAGAGGCTAGGTCTCAGTCCCCAGCTGATTCTGGACCCCTGAAGTCTAGGCAGCTACATGAGAACTGCGCCATATCAGCATTGCCTGTGCAGGGCCCGTGCTCAGTGCATTGCCAGTTGCCTTCGTGTTTGCCAGAGGACTCCATGACTGCTGGCTTAGTGTTGACTTCTGCTGGAGGGCCCGAGGGACTGCTCCGGCCTTTGTCTCCTGTCTCCGCTGGAGGGTCCGAGGGACCGCTCCGGTTTTCGTCTCATGTCTCCGCTGGAGGGTCCGAGGGACCGCTCCGGTTTTCGTCTCATGTCTCCGCTGGAGGGTCCGAGGGACCACTCCGGCCCTTGCTTCCTGCCTCGTCAGCTGGAGGGCCCGAGGAGCCCGTCCAGCTCCCTACCTCATCAGCTGGGGGGCCCAAGGAGCCCGTCCAGCCGCCGGCTGCAGCTTCATCGTCCTCCTCACCTGCTGCAGCTTCATCGTCCTCCTCGCCTGCTGCAGCTTCATCGTCCTCCTCGCCTGCTGCAGCTTCATCGTCCTCCTCGCCTGGTCCAGCCTCAGAGCCTTCAGCCTCGTCTGGTCTAGCCTCAGAGCCTTCATCCTCGCCTGGTCCCGCTTCATCCGAGTCTTCATCCTCGCCTGGTCCAGCTTCATCCGAGTCTTCATCCTCGCCTGGTCTAGCTTCAGCCTGTGCTTCGCCTGGTCTAGCTTCTGCCTGTGCTTCGCCTGGTCCAGCTTCAGCCTGTGCTTCGCCTGGTCCGGATCACCATCGCCTGAGTCGCCGCCGCTGCCTTCCGCGCGGTCGGCCCCTGAACTGCTCCGTCGTCTCCCTCATCGCCGCCGCTGCCTTCCGCGCGGCCGGCCCCCGGACCCTCGTCGCCCGAGTGGCCGCCGTTGCCTTCCGCACGGCCGGCCCCCTGAACTGTTTGGACTCCTGTGCGGTCGGCCCCCTGGCCGGCCCCCTGAACTTTTCTGTTTTGGACTCTGTTTTCCTGTGCTTTGGTGTGCTTTTCTTTTGGTTTTGGTCTTGTGTTTTTTCTTTTTGTCTTCTGGTGCTCCTGTTTTGTTTTGCCTCGTGCCCTCCGTCCTGGGCCCCTCCGCCCGCCCTGGTCGGGTTTTCTGGTTTTTTTTGGGCTGTCAGGAGCCAGCCCTTGAGGGGGGGGGGGGGTTCTGTCATGATCCTGGGTCCTTTTGACCCAGCGTTTTGTGTTTTCTCTTCACGATTTTGGTTCTGTTCTTCCTCTGGTTAGTGTTTACTCTGTTCTGCCCGTGTGTTCCTGTATCCAGTCTGCGTTTCTTAGTTTGTGTCCTTTCATGTGCAAGTTCCTGTTTTATTGTGAAGGTCTGCGTCTTATGTGAGTGTTTTCAGTTTGCCTCCCTAGTCTCATCATGTTTATCACTCCCAGCTGTGTCTCCCACCTGTGTGTAATCTCCCTGTGTTCTCTGAGTATATTTAAGTTGTATTTTCTGTCTTAGTAGTTGCTGGTTCGTCTGTGTTGTTTCCCCTCGGTCTCCCTGCGTCTCTCCGTATGTATTTCCCCGGACCTCTGCATCTTCGTTTCTGGTTTGTTTTGTTAGTTTTACCCAGTTTAGGTTTTCCTGTTTCACCTTCACCCACGCCATTGCTGTTTGTATTTTCTTTTGTTAAATAAACACTCACCTGCTCCAGAGCTGCTGCCTTTTGGGTCCTTTTCTACATTCCACACGGCTTGCCCCGGCAATCCGTGACAACTCAGGACATACCTAATGCAAACAGAATTCACTCCCATCATTTGAATGCAGCTGAACTCATAATCTCGATAATAGATTATTATTATCTCGATAATACGTTCATCAGTTCAAAGTTCATCAGTGGGTTTAAACAAATCATTTAAATTTCAAACACAAGACATTGGTAGGTTATGACATACAATTTAAACTATACATTAGTATTTACATGAGCTTTGCCACTTTGGAGTAATGCTGATCATTTGTTTTTTTTGAACAGTGTGTATTTCCTCAAGTCTTCAATCTGCTATGCAAAGCGGACTTTTCAAGCAAAATTTGTAACAGGTTAAGTGTGTGGATTCTGTCTGTCTGTGGATTTTGGAGTGTGACTGTTTGAGGTTGTAGACAGGTGTCTTTTATACTGATAATGAGTTCAAACAGGTGCCATTAATACAGACAACAAGTGGAGGACAGAGGATCAAAGGTCTCTCAGAGCCAGAAATCTTGCTTGTTTGTAGTTGACCAGATATTTATATTCCACCATAATTTTCAAATAAATTCTTTAAAAATCAGACAATATGATTCTTTTTAAGTGGGACGACTTGCACAATTGGTGGCTGACTAAATGCTTTTTTGGCCCACTGTAGTTTCATCATCTGAGGAGCACAACATCAGTATTACATTTAAATCCAGCTAATAAACTATACCTGGCATTGCTATGAATACATTTTTTTTGCAGGTTCATATTTAGAAATGTGACAGTTTGATGCATTCTTAGTGTGTTATTGTATTTTGTAGTGATGAAATAGTTGTAGATCTGGTTTTCATGAGCTTCCTGTTCCAACCCCGAAAAGCTTCAAAAGCCACAACTTGTGGTGAGTCTCTTGTTCTTGTACAACTTTCTCCTCTCCACATTGCAGCTGAGCTGAGAACAGTTTGAGTGATGAATCCTCCAGATTACCCGACTGAAGACGTGCCATTGCAGGGCGTGAATTATGGTGGACTCCCTATTCAGCCTGCAGTGGTCCAGCAGACTGCTGTGAACATCAACACAGATGTACCAGTCATCATTGAATACCCGCAAGACCATATCATCTGGTCAATCTGCTGCTTTGCCTACGCAAATCCTTTTTGCCTTGGACTTGCAGCTCTCATTTATTCCATCAAGGTGAGTTTATGGTAACAAATTTTAATTTCTTAGAAGTGTTTGTGTGTGTGTGTGTGTGTGTGGGGGGGGGGGGGGGGGAGGGGGTTAAAATAAAATGGTACAGGACAGAGCTCAGTAAAATAAAACCTAAAAAGTGAGAATAAGTTAAAAATAATAGAACAAATGGCTGACCAGAAGTAGTAATAGCAACACAGGAAATGTCAGATATTAAAGTTTTTAAAGTGTATAAAATGTTTTCATCCTTCCAGGCCAGAGACAGGAAGGTGGTTGGAGATGTGGATGGTGCACGACGTTATGGCTCCACTGCTCGCTGTCTCAACATTATCTCCACAATCATAGTTTCTACTGTGTTCTTGGCTTTAATAATTGGGATTACTGTTCTCACTACTACTATAGTTTCATACCGTACTGCTAATTTAAATTCACCCAGAGAACAGTATGGGTTTTCGTATTAAAATAAATTTTGCAACCTTCTATAACTTTTTAAATGCATCATCTGGGGGGGAAAAAAAGCCATTTTACAAAAATCTTAAATGGAAGTCTTCTCTATTTCTTTACTGACAAGTTTTGTTTTCAGACTTTGTTAGTTGATGCATAAATCGTGTTAGTAAATCGTTAAGAAATAAAAAGCTTCACATTTCAATAAATGTCTCTCTATTTTACTGTGCTTTACACATTTTTGACTACTTATAATTTTCTTTTCTTTTTTTAACTTTCTTTTTTCCCCCAACCGGTAACATAGTTTAATATCATGAGTGGGGAAAAGGGCAGAGTGATGTTTTCCTTCTCTGAAAATAGATAAAGTGACTATGTTTCACTCATGTGCATTTCCAAAAAATACTACAGCAGTTATAAATTTAGTTGGATCAGATTTTCAAACCAAGAAATGTCCCTGGGCCAGACATTTGAGGCAGCTTGTAAGCAACAGGTAACAATAAACTTCAAACCAATATAAAGGAACTAATAAAAGAAGTATTATTTATTCATTGTTTTGCTTTAAAAGTTGATCACATCTGAAAATATGCACAAGAATGCATGCATTTAAATAACAAATGAATTGTAAACGAACAGAATCTGAAGTAGTAATAGTTTTTTTTTTATTTAAAAAGCAATAAACTTTGCCCATATCGGACATCTGAATGTGCACAACATTAATGATTAAATCATATCAAAGCCATCACTGCAGAAACCCATTACATTATACACACAAATATAACAATTACATCGTCACCCTGATGGAACATAATTTTAATTTTAAGGCAGGCATGGCTTGTTACTCATCCAGTATATTCAATTTTATTTGTTGTAGCCTACATATATGTTAACATGTAATTACTCTGTTGACATTAGTGGGAGAAGTTATTTATCCATTTTTTGTTCTGTGCATTGAATGGGAGCTGATTTTTATTGAGTGTGTGAAAAACCTTAATCACATTTTTACGTTGATCCAAACACACTGAGGATGACTGCAACTTTGATAAGGCAAGGCAAGGCAAGTTTATTTGTATAGCACAATTCAACAACAAGGTGATTCAAAGTGCTTTACAGAGACATTAGAAACAAGAACAAGTAAAAAGCATGATTTAAAATTGATTAAAACAATCAAACTAACTAACTCATTAACAAACAAACAAAACAGTATATAAAATCAAAACAGATAAAATCAGAAATAGATAAAATCAGTAGTTAAAATGTTAGTTTTGAAATTTAAGCTTAAAAGTGTGGATTTGGTGCTTTATTCAAATGCAGCTGAGAACAGGTGAGTCTTCAACCTGGATTTAAATAAACGGAGTGTTTCAGCTGATCTGAGGCTTTCTGGGAGTTTGTTCCAGATATAAGGAGCATAAAAGCTGAATGCAGCTTCTCCGTGTCTGGTTCTGACTCTGGGAACTGATAAAAGACCGGATCCAGATGACCTGAGGGATCTGGAAGGTTCATACTGGGTCAGGAGGTCACTGATGTATTTTGGTCCTAAACCATTCAGAGCTTTATAGACCAGCATCAGAACTTTAAAGTCTATCCTGTCACGGTTCTGGGTCATGTTGACCCAGCTTTCTGTTTTTCATGCTTTGGTGTTTTTCTAGATTATGATTTATGATTTATCAGTGATACTGTTTTGATTATGATGATTATTTAGTAGACTTTGGTCAGTGTCAAGTCTGTCTCTCTCTGTCTAGTCCGTGTCTTAGTAAAGTGTGTTTTGTTTCCTGTTTTACTTTGAAGGTTCTTGTTCCTGTCTGATGTCAGTGTTCCAGCTTTGCTCTCCCTGTCTCGTTAGGTCTTATTTCTCCCAGCTGTGTCCCCCTTCTGTCTCTAATTCCTTGATGACTCCCTCAGTGTATTTAAGCCCAGTGTGTCTTTGTGTCAGTGTCGCGTCGTTAACGTCTGTTCGCCCTCACTTGCTGTTTGTTCATGATTTCCAGTCTGCCTGCATCTCAGTTTAGAGTTTTGTTTGCTTTTGTGTAGTGATGGCCAAATGAAGCTTTCTGAAGCACTGAAGCTTGTATTGAAAAACGGTTAATTACTCGAAGCTTTTCAACACAGTCCTCTCTGGTGACATCTGGTGGCCAAAAATACAAAGAGCAGCTTGAATCCACAAAATAAAACCAACTGCTTCATTACGATCGCCTACTCTACACAGTGGAGTTTTGTCTGATATTGGGCCGCTGTTGTGTTGCTTTGAACCTGTATTTTTTTTGGTGGTTAAAAAAATGTGTTTTATTTGTTTAATAAATAGTTTTGACCAGTAAACTCTCCTTGTTTAAACATGCATCATGGTGTGGTCTTCCTTTGCTTGTGAGTTCTTGATGTTAGTAAATACAATAATTGAAAAAAATACCACGTTACATATAATATATACATATAATTATGTACAACACATTATGGAGTATGCTTCTGCTGTGAGGTCCTGCCTCCATGCACTTATGCAATTAATCGCTAGACAGGTGCATTTATAAATAATATTATAGTAGGGAAATTTTCCCAGACATATTTTTGACCTGGGGGTAGAATTGATTGTGAAATGGAAAGGAAAATGCTTATGAAATTGCAAATTAAAAACATGATGCATTTAAGGTAACCCTTTTTCATTTTTATTTAAAAAGAGAATTTGTTCTAATGTGCGATGGCAGAACCTGTTCCTTTTGGTGGAGATCATTTATCCTGCCTTAAGGAAAATCCCTTCACATGGCCCAGAGGAGGCTGGAGTGCACAGAAACTGGTAGAGATGCAGTTTTACAGTCTACCTGGGCCCCACCAACTATCAGCTAAAGAGAATAAATAAATTCAATTGCTGCACATTTGGCAGACTAACATTTTCAGATTAATTAAACAATAAAATATATATTTTTACAACATTACATATAAAGAGTCAAGTGGAAGTTTTTTAAGTTTTAAGTTATTTAATGATATTTATATTATGGAAGCAGATTTTTGACATTTTACCTTTTTCCCGTTTTCAGATATAATAAACACGCACAAAACAAAAGTAAACGGCCAGAACACAAAGCTGGAAAACTCACCCGATTGACAAAAATCAACTCAAAATTCTCCCACACAACAGAACCCCCTCTATTCCTCGCTGGCTCCAAATTTCTCAGTGGAATGATCAGTGTTTCGCTATCTGTCACCATCAAAACACTCCACAAATCCCGTGAATGACTCGCTTCCTTATAAACCATTGAATCAGATACCAAAGCAGTTAGGTTCCAAATGAAGCTTCGGACGTCCCCGATCACGTGACTCTGGCCAAACAAATCAAGCTTCGATACAGTGCTTCTGAAGCAGTGTGTTGATTTTTTTGACACACGCACCGGAGCTTCAGCTTCAAGCGGGCCATCACTACTTTTGTGAGTTTTATTTTATCTTGATGTTTAAAGCTGCATTTTCAGTTGAAACCTCGTTTCCTAAGAATCCTGCATTTTGGGTCCACCACTCCTGCCTGCCTGCCACACAGCCGACCATGACATATCCTCTCACAGACAGGCAGCCAGTGTAAAGACCTCAGAGCTGGACTGATGTGGTCCACTTTTTTGGTCTTAGTGAGGACTCGAGCAGCAGAGTTCTGAATCAGCTGTAGTTGTCTGACTGATTTTTTTAGGTAGACCTGTAAAGATGCTGTTACAGTAATCAAGCCTACTAAAGATGAATGCATGGACTAGTTTTTCCAGATCCTGTTGAGACATCAGATCTTTTATCCTTGAAATATTCTTGAGGTGAAAGTAAGCTGATTTTGTTATTGTCTTAATGTGTTTTTCTAAGTTTAGGTCTGCATCCATCACTACACCCAAATTTCTCGCCTGGTTTGTGGTTTTTAGGTGTATAGATTGAAGTTCTCTGGTGACCTGTAATCGTTTTTCTTTGGCGCCAAAGACTATTACTTCAGTTTTGTTTTTGTTTAGTTGGAGAAAATTGTGGCACAACCAGTCATTAATTTCCTCAATGCATTTACCAAGAGCCTGTTCAGGGCCTTGGTCTACTGGTGACATTGTGATATATATTTGTGTGTCATCTGCATAGCTGTGGTAGTTTATTTTGTTGTTCTTTATAATCTGTGCTAGTGGGAGCATGTAAATGTTAAACAGAGGGGGTCCCAAGATGGAACCTTGGGGAACTTCACATGTGATACTTGTCTGCTCGGATGTGAAGTTACCTATTGATACAAAATGTCTGTGAAGGTTCTCAGTCATCCAGGTCATCGTAGTCAAAGGAGCTTGCAAAGAAAAGCGTCTGGACTTCTTTAAGTTACTTGAAGCTTCTCGGATGAGAGGTGAAACGTCTTCAAGTAACTTAAAGAAGTCCAGACGCTTTTCTTTGCAAGCTCCTTTGACTATTGATACAAAGTATTTCCTGTTTTCTAAGTATGTTTTGAACCAGTTTAGTACAGTTCCTGAAAGACCTGCCCAGTTCTCCAGTCGTTTGAGTAATATGTTGTGGTCAACTGTATCAAATAAGGGGAATGATGTATGTTAACCTCAGTCCTATGTCAGCAAGTTTGAGTAGGTTGTGAATGTCGTCTCCTTCACCTTCGTGGGCAGAGCAAGTCCAACTCATTGACCACAAGCATTCTCTTTTCAGATGTTTGAATATATTGCTCAGAAAGTAGACACCGACTGTGGAGCTGTATTTGTTGTTTTTTTTGGGGGGGGGGGTCTTGCCTGCTGTTGAGCAGGAACATTGTGATCTCCTCTTTAAGATCACAAAAACACTCAAGCATGCAACCTTTACGTGGACTGTTGTGAAATGTGGAGCAAAGAGAGACTGAAGTCCCCCTGACTGCCCCTTGTCATCACAGCTGAGGGAATAAAAGGACTTGAAAAGCAGCCTTGTGTTAATAATGTGTTGAAAGTGGTCAGCGTGCAAAAACAGAGCTTTTCCCAATCTGCTAGTAAGGATTAGATATAAGTCTGATTATATGTTAGCAGAGAGATCTGAGTAGTGAAAATTTCTGTGCAGTCTATTCTAGTTTTTGTGTGTAGACATGATCCACTATTGACCTGTTTAGTCATGTCTGAGTTTGAGAAGATACTAACTGTGTTGCCTACCCATGATTGTACTTTTGAGAAGGAAAAATAGTGTTAAATGTTGTAAGAGTTAAACACAGAATTATGATTCATATGATATTTTTGCTGATAGTTAATTATGCTCATACTGATCAGAACAT